CTGAGTCATTTTAATCATTACTTTGTACTCTTCGTTTCTACTTCTGTTGAAGCTAGATGTTGTTCATATCTTCGCCTCTCTATTAATGTGCTGGACACAGAGCTCTGTGAACAGCCAGCCTCTTTAGCAACGACTTTTGTTTGCCCTCCTTGTGCAAGGTGTCAGTGGTCGTCTTTTGGACAGCTGTCAAGTCAGCAGTCTTCCCCATGATTGTAGCCTACAGAACTAGACTGAGAGACCATTTAAAGGCCTTTGCAGGTGTTTGAGTTAATCAGTGATTAGAGTGTGGCACCAGGTGTCTCAATATTGAACCTTTCACAATATTCTAATTTTCTGAGATACTGATTTTGGGGTTTCATTAGTTGTCAGTTATAATCATCAAAATTAAAAGGAGATGAACACTTGAAATATATCAGTCTGTGTGGAATGAATGTATACATTATACAAGTTCACTTTTTGAATGGAATTACTGAAATAAATCAACTTTTGATGATATTCTAATTATATGACCAGCACCTGATATCTTTTTTAAAAACATTTTTAAGTAATGAAATGAATTGGTAATGAAAAACCAATAAAAGGACGGATAAAGAACAGAAAGAATATAGTATCAATAAATATATCAATAAAATCCTAACAATATAAAATAAATACAATATAAATGGCAGCTTTTAAAGACAAAGATTATGATAATTTATCACTTATAGTTAAGTCCATCTCTGGGATGGATCTCTAAGCCGTTTTTAATTTTAATTTATAAACATGACAATTAACTTTAATATTGTTGTTTTTAACAGACTTTGTGTTGGAGTTGTTATTCTAAATTTGAGACCAACATTAAAATTTTTACAGCAAAAGGATATCGGTTCCACATATCGGTCTAATTGGTCACTAATAATCTGTATCAGTCCGGAAAAAACTTCGATCCCTAATAAACACACCTGAAAATAACACATCGCACAGTCCTCTTCCATCCTCCATGACGACATTGCCAGATTCTAGCATGTCTCCAGACCTAAAGCCTATTGAGCATCTGTGGGACGTCCTCAAACAGAAGGCGGAGGAGCCCAAGGTCTCCAACATCCACCAGCTCCGTGATGTCGTCATGGAGGAGTGGAAGAGGACTCCAGTGGCAACCTGTGAAGCTCTGCTGAACTCAAATCTGGACATTTTCACACACTGACTGTCTCTCTGCTCACCGTCTGTGTCTCAGGTGTACTGCGTGCCTATTGGTGGGATGTTGGTGAGGCAGCCGGTGTCGGTGGGGGCAGCGGCAGCACCTACATCTACGGCTTCATGGACTCCAACTACAAACCGGGACTGAGCAAAGACCAGTGTCTGGAGCTCACTGCTGCAGGTACACACTGCTGCTGCTGCAAGGCATGCTGGGAGCTGCGGTCCACTGCAGGACTACTGGCTCTGACTGACTCTCTGTCTCTCTCCTGTCTTGTCTCTCAGCTCTGTCTCTGGCGGGAGAGAGACGGCTCCAGCGGCGGCGTGGTCAGATGGCGAGCATCTCAGAGGAGGGAGTGGAGAGACGAGTCATACTGGGAAACCAGCTGCCCAAATATCCACACACTAAACACGTTAATGTCCATTTTGTTGTGATAATAAAGGTTTCAGTCTGTCCCTGTCCTGTCCTTCTTAAACAGACTTCTACAGTTCTGTGGGTCCAGGATTAGCTTAGCTTAGCACAAAGACTGGAAGCAGGGGGAAACTGCTAGCCTTGTTTGGTTTTCTGTTGGCTTCTGTTAAAGAACCTGTTTGAATCTGAGGGCTCCTGCCTGAACGCCAGAGAGCGGCTCTGTCCTGCTTCATTACTACACTTTAAACAGATCAGACACAGTCATCTGGTGGAAACAAACTCCAGTCGCTGTCGCCAGTGATGCATAAACTCGTATGCAACTACGCCGTAGGCTACGCACGTAGCCATGCATTTATACCTGTGCGTCGGTGTCCCCGTCATTCTGCTATTACACCCCCAAACACTCATCGGCAGTAGCGCTACAGCGTCCACTGGGTTGAATTCCGGTTTAAAACAAGGGTTTTAAAAAAGCAGGAAAATAAAGAGCGCTTGTATATACAATGGGTTCAAGGTACCACGGTTTCCGTGGAAAAAATCTTATTTGTCGGCGCTGAACTCGCTCCAGCAGGAGCGACAATGTCAAGCCAGGTAAATCAGATGAATGCCTGTCAACAGCTTTCTTCAAGAGACAACACGGTCATTCACAGATTTACTGATACTGAAATGGAAAAGAATAAACTTTAAACACAGTGAGACACCACAATCAGGAGACGAACCTCACAGCTCTAACGCAAAACAAACAGGGTTTGGTTTGCTGCTGTCAGACGGCTGGAAAACGGGGGCGAGTTCAATCTCAAAACGTTTTGCACCGGTTTGCAATATTTTCAGATTGAACGGCATGTTTACTTGCAACGGGCTTCGAGGTATATTTGCTCCCGTTTGGGGGTGTGTCTCAGGTCTTCTGTGCTGCAACAAGTTTGTAAACACAACGGCGTTAAAAAGGCAGGAAATGCAGTGTGCTTGCGTACAAACAGGGTGTTCAGGGGACCACCTCGGGAAAAAAAACGTTTTACTACGTTTTGTCTGCACTAAACTCGCCCCAGATATTTAAAAGACAGGATGTTGTGAATGGACCAATCAGCAGCAGCCACTCCCAGGTTCTACCTGTGAATCCAGCCAATCAGAAAGAGACACCTTTAGGACACGCAGAGGTCCTCTCAGGCACAGAGCACCCACTCCAACAAAACAGGTTAGTAAAATGTATATCATTTTGTTATGTTTAGAGTTTTGCAAGAAGAAAAGGAAAATATTCTTGCATGAGGTCCATTGTCTCTCTTCACTATTTCTCAAATGCATGAACTGAGATGAAACAAAAAAAAATAACATTTCTTTCCAGATACTGTAACTGTTGCTCTACACATGACCTGACTTCCTCCTTCCCTTACCTGCCCCACCTGTTTCTGTAAATGTTATGCAACTGTTCAAATCGAAAGTAAAGTTTTCAGCAGATTATCAGGGGGAGGAAAGGGACAGCTGGCTGTGAACTGATGTCCTCACTGTGTTTCTGAAGACTTCCTTTAGTTAGAAGCAGATTAACTTTGTGCTTGTTGGAGTTTCTACAGGAAGATGAAGATTTGTGGTGTTTGTGATCCTCGTGCACGGTAAGATAACCTTCCTCTGATCTGATCATCACCTCAGTCCAACGTCACGTCTTTAATCTGGGTTTCTTTCTTAACCAGGGCTGTCACACTAACAAAATGAAATACGACCAAGCCAACCGCAGAGGATGGCTAACAACACGCAATGTTCATGTTTAAGAAAATATAAAGTTAGTAAAATACAATAAAATAAAAGGGATAAAATAAAGTCAAATAAAATCGGGAAAAGCTCTCCTATAAAAGTATGTTTTAAGAAGGGACTTAAAAGAGTTCACTGACTCAGCCGACCTGATTTCCTTGGGCAGGCTGTTCCAGAGCCTCGGGGCCCTGACAGCAAACGCTCTGTCCCCTTTAGTTTTCAGTCGAGACTCTGGAACAGACAACAGACCTCTGCCCGAGGATCTCAAGGTACGTGCTGGTGCGTATGGGACTAAAAGGTCAGAAATATAACAAGGCGAGAGGCCATGAAGAGCTTTAAAAGTGATCAATAGAATTTTAAAGTCAATTCTAAAACATACTGGGAGCCAGTGTAATGAAGCTAAAATAGGAGTAATGTGGTCATATTTCTTTGTTCTGGTTAAAAGCCAGGCAGCTGAGTTCTGGACAGTCCGGAGTCGATCAATAGATTTTTGGGTTAAACAGGTGAAAAGGCTGTTGCAATCGATCTTTTAAAGAGTCCTGTGAAAATACTGTTACAATAATCTAGTCTATCAAAGATGAATGCGTGTATGAGTTTCTCGAGTTCCTCGTTGGACATTAGTCTTGATTTTTGATATATTTTTAAGGTGATTTGTAATGGTTTTGATGTGGTATTAAGACTTAATTCTGAATGGGTAATTATAACGAGAGTTTTTACTTGACTTGTGGTCGTTAATGAAAGGAATTCAAGGTGAGCAACAACTTAAGTCTCTCCAATTTGGCTCCCAAGACAATAAGTTCTGTTTTATTGGTATTGAGTTGCAGGAAATTACAGTGCATCCAGTTGTTAATTTCTTCAATGCATTTGGTTAGTGATTCAACTGGACCGTATTCATCAGCTGACAGTGCTATGTAGATCTGATTGTCATCATAATTATTGTAGGAGATGTTATTTGGAAAATTTGGACATTTGGCAACATGACCATATTAAACAGGAGAGGCGAGAGGATCGACCCCTGGGGAGCCAAGGAACACAGTTGCTGAATGTTCACTACCATTTCTCCTATTGATAAAGTTGCAGCTGATTGTTTGCAACAGTAATTTCTGGTGTTAGCTCCTGTTGTCTGAGAATAAATACAATAGCACATTCTGTCTAATCCAACCGCTGCTGAATAAACGTTCACTGCTGGTGCCTGGACGATAGATTGTAGGTATATTGTAAATGTAGCTTTTTGTTCTTTTGTGCCTTTCTCTCCTCCTCCTGCATACTAACCCCACATGCACACACTACTTAACCCTTGAGAGAGAGCTTGTTGGCCATCTTGATTCCGAAATCACATGGTTTAAACCGCCTTTTGATTCCAACATTAGCCTCCACCAGCGTCAGCAGGAAGGTGATGAACTTAAAAACCAAAACCAGCTTTACAGCGGCCGAACATCCATGATGACTGACGCTCTGGAAACTGGAGACCTCAGCCTCAAGCTGACAAAACTCCAGCTTCTGAAGTTATTGCCAGAACCATCAGCAGACCTCTCAGGGACTCAGACCTCTGGGACTCAGCAGTCTGCTTTATCTTCAGTCCCCAGACAGTCAATAAATCTAGACAGCAAGAAGAAGCAGCGTTCAGTCTTTATTGCTCCGTATATCTGCTGAGACAAACTACCCAGAAAATCTTCAGGTCTGCTGAAACTGTCAGTTCTTTTAAATTAAGACTGAAGAATCTTCTTTTTACCACTGCTTTTAATTAGATCAAATGTAAGGCTGTAGATTAAAATCGTTCACTGCTATGTGACTTTTACTGTCCTGTTTTACCATGTTTTTATTTCCTATTTAAATCTTTAAAATTTATTTATTGTTTTATTTTCTATTTTACCCTTTTTTAAATTATAATTAAATTTTTCCTCAACCTCCCATTGCTGCTTTAATGTTTTATGTAAAGCACTTTGAATTACCTTGTTGTTGAAATGTGCTATACAAATAAACTTGCCTTGAATTTATTCATTTTTGATTAGAATAGGTAATAGTGATTTACTTAGTAAAGTTATTGATTATTGATCTATTTTTTGAGTATTACTATTTATTTGTGTATGTTGTAGTAAGAGTTGGTTGCCACAGCCAGTGTACAGACTCATTCTTCTCTGTTTGCCATCTAGAGGTGAACAAACCTTCTTTGAAACTGATCGTACTTGGCTCATATTTGGTTATTGGTCCTTGATTTATTGATTATAATTAATTATTTTTGAATAAGCGGCTAAACCATTGGTTGTAATTCGCAACCCTCACTACTAGATGCTACAAAAACTTGCACACTGAGCCTTTAACACCATGTTGAGTCAGAAAACAGAGTCCATCTAAACAGTGAGAGCAACATGACAGCTGAGGTGCTTCTGTTATTTGTCAGCTGCTGCTGGTTTTAAACTGTGCTGATGTGGTTTCACAGCAGCTGATCAGCTGCAGCGTCCAATCACAGACAGGACCAGGTTGGTTTCTGGGTCACCTGAGGATCCAGGAGGACTAAGACATGAAATAAGGCTGCTGTGATTGAACCTCTCTGTCTGTGTGACCTCACAGTTTCCCAGCATGCCTCAGCTGTGGAGCTGTATGAGGGGGAGGAGTTTGTTCTGCTGCCCTGTGAGTTTCAGACTTTTGACATGGACCACCCCACAGTGGTGTGGAGCCGCTACGATCTCAATCCTCCAACCGTCCACCAGCGTCAGCAGGAAGGTGATGAACTTAAAACCAAAACCAGCTTTACAGCGGCCGAACATCCATGAAGACTGACGCTCTGGAACTGGAGACCTCAGCCTCAACCTGACAAAACTCCAGCTCTCTGACAGCGGCACCTACACCTGCACCGTCAGAGCGTTAGGAGATCAACGGAGAGTGGCAGAGATACAGCTGCAGGTCAAAGGTCAGCAACAAACCCTAACAGCTGCTGTAGATACAGGTCAGAGGTCAGAGGTCATGTTCTTGATGATTCTGGTTCCCACAGAACGATTTCCATCCTGGGCCAAAGTTCTCCTGGTTCTCCTGGTTCTCCTGGTTGCTGGTCTTGTTGCTGCTGGGGCTCTTCTGGTACATTTCCGGCAGTATTTCATGTCAGGTATGTCACTACTGCTCCCCTTTCCTGTATAGATATTATAAAGGTATTACTGGAGCAAAACTACTGAACACCTATGACAGTGGAACTTGTCCATCCATCGTCAACCGCTTATCCTGCGTACAGGGTCGCGGGGGGTCTTGGCCCTAAACCATTCAGTGCTTTAAAAACCAAAAGCAGTATTTGTAGAAATCAATTCTGACAGACAAGAAGCCAGTGTAAAGACCTCAGAACTGGAGTGATGTGATCCACTTTTTGGT